ATATTACTAATATTATCTAATTATATATATAAATACTCTATACTCTTATAGAAGTTTCTAGAACCCTCTAGAAACTTCTAGAGGTCTTTAGAAACACGAACTTCTATAGAGTTCTATTAGGTTCTACTATAGAGTCTATAAGTTCTATAGAGTTCTACTCTACTCTATTCTATTCTAAGGAAACTACTAGAGCTATAGAACATATACATACATCTAGAGGTCTAGAAGATTCCTATTATTAATTAAGAGAAGGATCTAGAATATATAAGGAGGAATATATAAGGAACGGTCTCTCTATATATTTAGTTCTCTCTCAATCTAGTCTTTACTTTAAGAATTATACTATATTCTTATTATCTTTAAGCTATACTCCGCCGATCCGTTTATTATATAATAGTCTATTACAGCTAGATCCTATTATATAACTCTATTTAGATATATATTCCTTATATAAGGAATATTATATATCTATTTATACCTGTCCTTTTCACAGTTCTTAAAAGTAACGAGCTTGGACGGAGTACTATTCTTCCATGTCTTATGTATGTTTTACGATGCCCTACACTTAGGTATAGTGGACTGAGGACTACCATGCATGTATACTTTCACAACTCCATGTACACCTTTTCGCCATCCCTCCATTACTACTCATGATAATTCGTCACAAGTACATCACATCCGCGCTCCACTCGATACAAAACCATCCGCCACTGCGGTCATCAACCGATTCGCAATTGCGGTCGGTGGCGGCAATCTCAAATTGCCCTTTTTATACCCTGGGGGAGCATCCTCACCTAAGCCACTCGTTCCATTTTGCAACGCCTCTCGCAGCACGTCCATCGTGTACCACTTCGCATCATCGAGTTCTGGATCATTTCCCAAATCGATCGTCTCCCCGTCCGGAATTGCCTGCCCGATTGCACCAATCATCAAGTTTGCCGGATACGGCCATGGTTGTGTGCTGTGAATGACAACACGCCCAAGCTTGATTCCACTTTCCTCCCAAACCTCGCGCCGAACCGCTTCTTCAACACTCTCCGCAGGCTCTAGAAAGCCAGCTAGTGTGCTATACCAATATGGAGGCCAGCGCCTCTGGCGTCCTAGCAGGATACGCTGCGCATCTGCCGACACAACGGCCATAATAACAGTTGGATCCGTCCGCGGGAAGCTCAGGTTAGAGATAGTACCTCGCGTGGCGCACGGCTCACGTTCGGTCTTGCTGGCATCATTCACAGCTCCAGCTAGATCCTTAGGTGGACAAGTGCGTTTCCAACCAGCGTTCGTGCTGAGTGTTGGGAAGCCACAGGAAGCGCAGAAGGGGTTGCGCAAATTCCAGTCGAGCATGTGGCGGGCCTCGGCATAAATAGCTGCATCCTGTGCTGGGAGAGACAGTTCCATGCGGCTCTTAGAGAACGATAGTCCACGCGATTCGAGTGTAACAATAAGGGCTTCGCATGCTTGTATGACGGACTTACGGGGAGTGAGGTCAATGGCGAAGTATGGTGCGCCCGAGTGCGATTTGTAGGTCATGCCGTCCTTGGAGCGTTCATCGAGGCCAAGGAAAATGACCTGGGGCTTGTAGTCTGTGGAATTGAATTGGTCGATGATATTTTGTTCCGTACGTTGGTAGGGATCACCGATAATGGATTCAAAGTCTGAATAGGGGAGGAGAGCAATTTCGGTAGATCCTTTGATCAGTAGCTCCATGTTCCTATAGACGAGGAATCTAGATGAGGAGTGGTGGAGGGCAGATGAGAGGAAAGAGTAATCGCTGCGGAGGAAGGAAACGCGATTCAGTGGTGAGCCTATAGATTTGTCAGTGTAGGTTCTTGTCCCTGATCGCGATAAGACAATTCACCAGCGAAGTAGTTTGCGACCTCTCTTCCAAACTTCCTATTCAGCATTGAGTCTAGGTTTGCGTGGGCGGGCTCTGGTAGGTCGGATATAGGAAGCGGCATGTTATATCTGAGGAGATGGCGTTGTCAATTGAATAATTGAATGAAGAAGTGAAGCGAGTCAATAGCTTCGAATAGTGTATTTCCCCAACTCTAATGTTGTATAAAGAAACATGAAATAACCACGTCCACCGAAGTAGACTCAATTTTACTAATCAACTGTATGCATATATCCTTAACTCCACGCTCGCCCGAGGTCGGTTGGACGCGTATATAACCATGAGATCATTGGTGACTGTTATGCCGATATTTTCCCGCTATCGAACCGATAGTATCAGCGCGGCGCGGGAAGGTGACGAGGTCCACGACGGTATTATTGTGGCTCCGCCATGAGCTCTCTCAGATCACAACCTCTCAAGCTCGAGACTCCAGCGAGCAAGACCAATATGAGTCAATTCTATGTCAGTAACTGTGACTACCACAGTAGCCTAAACACTTACTTTTCAGTTCGGCGACGACTCAAGCTCCAATTCAGACAACGACTCCTTCGACTCCCTGCCCTATCCTCAGCCGCTCCCACGCTCCGACTTTCTACAGCCTAATTTCTCTGCTGCAGCGTATTTGGGCTCGCTCCAGAATCGACATCAGACACTCGAAGACCTCCGAACTGAGCTCCGCACACGCAGCCAGCAGCTCAATCAGCAACTACTCGACCTGGTCAATTCAAATTACCAAGAGTTTCTAGGACTGGGTAGCAGTCTGAAAGGCGGCGGTGAAAGGGTAGAGGAGGTTAGAATGGGGCTGCTGGGGTTCGAAAAAGATATTGAGGCTGTTAAAAAGAGTGTCCAGGAGAAGAAGAGCCAGGTCGAGGAGGCATTAGACGAGAGGAGGAGAGTTGGGAGATACATGCAAGTCGGAAAAGCCCTTCTAGAATATCATGAGAGATTATTAGAGCTGGAGCGACGCCTGTTAGTTAATTCGGAGGAAAAGAACCAAGACGATGAGAGCGAGAGTGAAGAATCCAGCGAGGACGAAGATGATGATACTGCTCTCATGAGCTTGTGGAGATTACGAAGACATGTACGACAATATTTAGTGCTGAGGGAAATCTCCACACAACTAGGTGTGGACCATCCCTTCTTGGTCGCGCAAGAGGCACGGATACTCAAAGTTCGGTATACCCTTCTGCTTGATTTGAGTACAGCCTTGAAACAGGCTCAAGCCACAGGGAGGTCTGCTGACGCGCGAGTGCTGTCTGTCATGTCAGTGTATAGAGACATGGATGAAGGTGGCGAAGCAGTGAAAGTGTTCCAATCCTTACCGAAAGCATGAGTAGCTGCGTTCATAGCATAGCGTGGGCGTTAGGCAGAACAATGATGCTAATACAAATGAATGAAGTCTTTATATTCCATGCCTTCACTTTATACAATGCTTCAGACAATTACGTAGCCTCTTCGTCCTTTGATATTCCCTTGGTCACCTCTTCTGGGGGTTTGTATGATTTTTGCGACGTGTCGAACGCTACAATATCTGACAGGATATAGGCTGGTATCGGTTTTTCGATGAAGTCGACTTCTCTCAATGACTGAGAAGACCGGTAATCCCCATTTAGACTTATGCCAGGACCTTGGGTGGTACTTAGGACCTGTGCATGTCAGCATATATCATACACAATAGAATGGACATTACTCACCACCTCGTGGATCGATTTCTGTATTGAGTCATTCATGGCCGCAATGTCTCGTTTCAGCGCGGCCAAAAAAAACCTCACGTTAGTAGATAATTGCTCGGGCGTAAAGCGCAATTGTCCGATCGGCAACCTTATAACACCCATACGTTCCTTATATTCACTTGCCCCAGCCACGCCTTTGATGAGTCCCGCACAATCCGTGGTCACTGTTCCGCTCTTCACGCTCGGCATCAAGCCCTTCGGACCTAGTATTCTTGCAACCTTCGCAGCATTCAATTTCTGCACCGAATTTGTATGGCATATCACCCGGTCGAAGTCGATTCTCCCCTGTCTTACATCTTCGAATATCGACTCCTCTCCGACGATATGCGCTCCTGCTTTTCTTGAAGCAATTCCTTGTTTGCTCTCCGGATCACAGATGACTGCTATTCTCATATCACTGCGGACAGAATTTGGTAATTTTATACGATTTTTTATTGTTGGGCCGCTTTTGAGCGTATTGATTTTGACGTGAAGTTCGTACTTTGATCGCTGCTGATCTTTGCCAATCTCGAAACAACGAAGATATCTAGAAACATGTTATTAGATGCGTGCGTGCTAGTGAAGAGAATCGATGTGACTTACTGCACAGCGTCAGTCAACGCAAACTGCTCTGCATCTTTCAGATCCCTCACGAGGAAGTGTTTTCTATCGTTCTTCTTCTTGCCGGGTAACTCCTTCTTCATGCTAGCGCGTCGGACTTGCTGGGAGACGTGGAAGCTGGCAGGACAGCTGCTGACGTGTTGTCGGAAGACGCATCGTGTCGCGGATGAGCTTAGTCGAGCGGCGCCCGACGGTATAGTGGTCATTCCGCCTTGGAAATGGATGACGACAAAGGCATGTACATGAGATTCGATCACGGAGAAGAAAGACCCCCGAACCTTTTTGGGAACTTGGGCACGTGACCCAGCCCTATGCATGGCCCACTTCGCTAAGACAACCTATGTCTTTACTTTACTTTCTGTGCCCCTCTTTTGAGTCATCTGGCTAGAGAAACTCGAATATCTTGTTGCCCTTGAACCCATAACTTAGAACATATACTCAGTCAATATGACAGGCCATAGTGCTGAGGCTCAGATTGCAGAATGGATACAGAGGGCCGCTGCCTTGGCTCCAATCAATCTTAAAAGCATTGAGGGCCCTCTTGGAGAACTTGATGCTCACCTCACTCTTCGGTCCCACATCGTCGGACACAGCCTGACAGATGCTGATGTGACAGTTTGGCAGACTCTTAGAACCAACCATGTTGCCAGCTCATTCCTCAAACGTGGACTACTCATCAACCTGACTCGATGGTACAAGTACATCGAGGAGGCTTACCCAGCACACGCGAAGCTTCCGGAGAAGCAGACTAAGGCTGCCAAAGGAGACGAGAAAGATGAGGGTGGTAACTATGATATCGGTCTTCAAGAGCCCGAGAAAGGTGTGGTCACTCGCTTCCCGCCCGAGCCTAGGTAAGTCTCAAGACCATATAAATATATTATTTTCATATCTAACGAGTCATAAGTGGTTATCTGCACATTGGTCACGCAAAGGCTGCTCTCCTAAATGACTACTTTGCACATAAGAAGTACAAGGGTACTCTACTACTACGTTTCGACGACACCAATCCCTCGAAGGAGAAGCAAGAGTTCCAAGATGCGATTGTAGAGGACCTAGCTTTGATGGGTATCAAGGCAGATAAAACATCGCATACCAGCGACTATTTCCAGGAGCTCTACGAGTTTTGTGTCACAATGCTCAAAGAGGGCACCGCTTACGCTGACGACACCGACCAGGAGACGATGCGCGCCGAACGCATGGATGGCATTGCCTCCAAGCGCCGTGACAGCTCCCCTAAGGATAACCTCGCACACTTCGAGGAGATGAAGAAGGGTAACGAAGAAGGCATCCGCTGGTGTATCCGAGCGAAGATGTCCATCGACAACCCCAATAAAGCGATGCGGGACCCGGTCATATACCGCTGTAACCCTGAAGCACATCATCGTACCGGCACGACCTGGAAAATCTACCCGACCTATGACTTTTGTTGCCCAATCATCGATGCGCACGAAGGAGTGACCCACGCTCTGCGTACTACCGAGTACAAAGACCGTGATGCCCAGTATCAATGGTTCATTAAGACTCTAAACCTCCGCAACGTATACAATTGGGACTTTGCGCGAATGAATTTTGTCCGCACTCTACTTTCAAAGCGCAAATTGACCAAGCTAGTCGATGCCGGTACGGTCTGGGGGTGGGATGACCCACGCATGCCCACCGTACGCGGCATCCGTCGCCGCGGCATGACCATACCCGCTCTTCAGGAGTTCATCCTCAAACAAGGCCCTTCTAAGAACATTGTCAACCTCGACTGGACTACCTTCTGGGCGACGAACAAGAAATTTATCGACCCTGTCGCAGGCCGCTACACGGCAGTCGACAAGACTGACATGGTGAAGTGCGTTGTAAATGGCGCGCGCGAGGCTCCGTACGCCGAGGAGAAGCCACTTCATGCAAAGAACAAGGATGTCGGTGTCAAAAAAGTATATTATAGTCAGGAGATCCTGCTCGACCAGGAAGACGCGCAGAGCTTTGCTGCTAACGAGGAAATCACGCTAATGAACTGGGGCAACGCAATTGTGCGTCAAATCAGCCATTCCCTAAACCCTCTTAGTAGTCAGAAAGTCGTTGGGATCCACCTTGAACTGCACCTGCAAGGTGACGTGCGCAAGACGAATAAAAAGATCACCTGGCTCAGCTCGAATCAGGAACTGGTGCCAATTGAGCTTGTTGACTTTGACTTTATCATTAGCAAGGATAAGCTTGACGAGGATGATAATTGGGAAGATTTCATTACGCCGCAGACGGAATTCCGTAAGGACGCTGTGGCGGACGAGAATGTAGCGAAGTTGAAGGAGGGAGATATCATTCAATTTGATCGCAAGGGGTATTTCAGAATTGATCGTGCATTTAGCTATGGGCAGCCAGCTGTCGCTTTCCAGATTCCTACGGGTAAAACGAAGTGACGCGTGGTATAGGAACTCGGGTAGCAAAACCTCTAGGTCAAGAGCGGATTGAGGCTGGCATACAAGTCGCGGCACTTGGTGGTAATCGATGACTATGCTGGATTGATTGTATATACATTACTCTCAGCATGCTACTATAGAAGCTGCGCATTATCCTGGCACTATGAACATGTCGTGGAACACATAATAATCATGGGAGTGCCAATATCGGTGGGTTGAGGCCTTAATCGCCCCTTTTCTTTAAAGAGCACGTTCAAGTCTGGTCGTTATATTTCTGTTCATACGTGATTATAGACTGGTAGTCGATGATACGACAATTGATAGTGTCAAATTTGTTTGACACCACAACAACTATTTACTCCTAGTTGTTTGCAATGCAGTATCGAGTGTTCCGACTATCAAAAACAGAAGCCGAATGTTGTCCCCCCATATAGCTGTAAGTTACGACAGGTGTGACCAACACCACCAACAAAGTGACACTCTCTGTTACGAGTCTTCCCAGTGGTGCTTGACGCAAGGTGCAGTCTACCATTGCACATCACCACCAACAGCGCTACCCCAACCATCACTAGGAATGAGAGGGACGACTCCATCGGCGTCACCACCATCGGCCCAACAACCAACAGCTGTTGGGGCGGCCCGTTCACCCGTCGGAGGAGCAGACTCACCACCGAATCCTCCACTACCGCCACCCAAGGCGTCGATTCCATCGTTCTCATTGATCGGCTCCTTACACCTTTTCATAGTATGTCCCTTCTTGTGACAGTTATTGCACTCCACGCGACTCCAATCCTTGGGCTCGGTGCAGTCCTTTGCACGGTGGCCTTGCTGATCGCAATTTCGACACTGGAAGGATGCTTCGGAGCGCGGTTCGGTGCATTCTTTTGCAAAATGACCTTCTTGGTTGCAATTACGGCAGGATATAGAGGATTGTGCGGTGGGGCAATCCTTGGCCATGTGACCCTCTGTGATATGGTCAGGTAAGATGAGATATGAGACGAGGAAGACACATACTCTGGTTGCATTTGCGGCATTCCATGTTACGCAAGGAGCGTGGCTCGGTACACTCAGTCTTACGATGACCAGCTGTGCGGTTTATTAGCACTCACTCACGTCTACAAGGGAGGTTACTCTCCACTTACGCTGTCCACAGTTAAAGCAACCATCAGCAGTGAGCTCCGCAGCAAGTGGAGTAATGTCCCATGTTCCACCAAGCTCCATCCCTTCTTCAGGCTTCGAAAGCGCTGCTACCTTGGCCTTATGGCCTTTTCCAAACAAGTGGGCCTTGTGGTCCTTGTATTTCATGGATTTATTGCAAGTCTCACAGAAATAGTCGGTGGGAAGGATGTTTTTGAGCTTTGGCCAAGGGTTGGAATCCATCATGGAAGTTATAGTAGTTTAACCGCGTGACGTGAGAGAATTTGAGTAAAGCCTTAAGTAGGACTTAGCGAGGTGTTGTGAAAGTTGTCGTGAGATACTACGCGTTGGGCACACAAAGAAGGTGAGCAAAGAAAGACGTCAGAAAAAACGTCTAACCAGAGGCAGTGATAAGTATCAAGGCAAAGTATTGGAGGTTGTTCGACGGAGAGATGTCAGAGAAGTAAGAGGCGAAGGTGAAAAAGAAAGACCGATGACACAGGCTCAGTCAAGTAAACAGCCCATCCGCGTGACCTTACGGAGTATACATGACAGATGAAAAGAACGCGAATGATACCGTTAGTAAGGAACGCAGTACTTGCTCTTCACTTCACTTCCGTTCCTATGGCCATGGGAAGAGTCCTGATCTGGACAGTGGCCCCACCAAAGACAAACAATATCGTTACACAACCTCCAGGCAGGCTCATACCTGACAATATTTACCCTAGCTCTACCTACTACCTGGGGATAAGCTCGGCACCATTAGGCCTTGCTTAATAGGTATGGGACAATGATAAGAATCATCCAACAGTGGATGAACTTGGAAGAAGCGACGGTGACGTAACACGAAATAGTTGATTGCACTCTCCTCCTATATGATTGATCTGGCCTATGTGATACTTCGATAGCATCGCGTTTGTCCGCGGACCATACAGCCTATATAAGCCAAGGAAATTCGTGACATGCACTGTGAGGCGCTTCTAGGAATAGAAGAGCCGCGAAACTTAGTCATCAGCATTACAAATGATTGAACATATACAAAGGTGTGGCCAAGCAATAGAATGAGGCCACGGATATAGTAAAGAGATGTAGGATGAACAGCAGTCTGACTCACACCTTTCGCTATGCATCGCAATAAGCAAGCAACAAACGCTAAAATCCAGTCTAATTGTAGCCCGAGGGAATCAGAAGGCGACACATGATAAGCAAGGTATCACTTTCTAATGTTTGCATTTAGGAAATGCGCTCCATGTCTTCTCGTTGGCGAAGATATTTGCGTGCAAGCTCATCGCCACCGTTCATGCTCATCTCCATCCAGTGTTGTGCTACGCACATGGTGATGGGATCGCTACGTGTAGGATCTTCCCTTTTACTGCCGCGATCGCGATTGAGAAGCTCCGCCTTGAATACGTCCTTAGGTCTGGTGAGAGGAAGGATTGTGCGTATCTGCAAAAGATCGGGATGTGTAAGATAGAAGATAGCCAACTCGCGCTCGGCGACGGCATCACCTTCCTTAGCTGTGATGACAAGCATGCGTGCTGCATCTTCCATACTGAACCGTGGTGCTGGGCTATCAGGGCCTTCCGCTCCTGTATTATTGATGGAGGATAGTGTTGAGCTCGTTTTGCTAGATCCCGCGCCATCGGATCCTGTGCTGTTTGCTGTTTGGTGAGTGCCACGATTTTGTGTGTTGTATACCACAATCTCATCAGCAATCTCGACCATAACTCTGCAGACATCCTCCTTGAGGCCTAGAGCCGCTAGTCCAGCGTCCCAGAATGCTTTCCCTCGCGCAGATTTGTCTAACATTGATGCAGGAACAAAGGCGGCTATGTACTGTAAGTCACGGAAAAGAGTTCTGGGGCGAATCTCTGCATCCCGGAAGAGGCCTTGCAACACTTCAACTATCATATCAGTGCTGGGTGGACCGCCGGGTGACTTTGTTCCAGAACGAGGTATTGGTGAGCTCGTGCCATATCCAATATCCGATTGCAGATTCATGGAATGTGAGCGACGTTCTTCACAATTAGCAATGGCTTCCTGAAGATTCGCAGCTCGCTGAACGGGAGCGACTGGCTCTCTTGAGCTGAGCTCTGGGACGGATCCCAAGGTTGGCGACTGGGGCACTGTTGGGAGAGGCTGCCGATTGTTAAATTGCCGGTTGGAACGAGACGACAGAGACGCGATGATAATGAGTTCCAGCTCGTACAAGGCATGCAGCTTCGAGAAAGGATTTGGATGAGTCGCGAATTTGCGGAGTAATCGACGGAATGCCATGTTGTAAGGGAATTCAAGCAGTCCCGCTCGCTTTGCAGCAGACAGAGAAGAACGAGCTGTCGCATCGCTTGCCGACGAGGACTGTTCGCCGCCAGATTGGTTATCCGTGGCATGCTGGAGTGTGGCTAGGGAAGTAGATGGTGGAGCGCGCTCATTGCGGCCAAGTGTTTCCAAGGGACCTCCGGCATTCCGATGCTGGTCCGCTTTCACGGCACGAATGCTCTTCATACTCTTCTTCCGGGCCAATTTCTGTTTTCGCCTGCGTTCTTCTTCCTCCTTTCGGGCGATGCACTCTTCTCCGAGGTCGCCTGAAAACCAGGAATCGGTCTCGCTGCCATGACCGAATACTAATGTCCCTAGATCGCTTAGGAGTAAGCCGGTCAATGACTGCTTCAGGTCCAGAAGGAATCTTCTCTTCTCCTCATTGACCGAAGAAGACTGCTTCAGCATCACTGTGCCTTTGGAAGACGTAGCTGTTTGTGGTCTGATACTTGTGGAGCTAGAAGGGGACTCAGCTTGACCCTGGAATGGCGACCAAAAAGTACTGGTCGTATCAATGGTCAGAACTGGATTGGACGGCCCAAAGTAGTCTTGCGAATCTAAGAGATCCACTGTCTTTGCTGTGTTCCACTTGCTAGAGTCAAAGCTCTGCTGCGAGCCGTTGCGGTGGGAGATGGATCGCAAGCTACCCATGCTAGGACGCTGAGCAAAGTCCAGACTACGTGACCCTGGGCGATTGGTCTCGTACTCCTCATCGCGAGCAATAGAGAGTGTGCCAACGCCAGTCAGAAACAAATCCCCCTTCTGTCGCCCGCTGTCGAGGATATCTTTGTCGCGACGATAGAGCTCGCTTGACCACAGCACTGGGCCATCCATTACACCCTCACCAACAAGTTTGTTCACGCATCTGTCAATTTCGAGACAGAACCGATGGATTCGTTCCTCGCCTTTGCAAAAATTTTCGATTGCATATTGGGAAAGCCATTTGGCTGTCATCTCTGATTGATCATCGCCTAGTTTGTTCGGACCTCCAAACTCGGCCTGCGCGGCAATCAAGTCGACAACTTGTGACTCTGTCTTTAACAAGAAGTTGTTCGTAGATGATCGGGAAAACGTGCGTGGTTTGTGAGATTGGAGAGGCTTTCCGCCAATGGTTTTCGTTGGCTGGCCCATCATCTTTAACGCGACAGCAACATTTTTGGCCTCCTCGTACCGGGCTGAATTGCGCACGTCAGTGATATACCACATTTTGTCTCTGAGGCTCTTGAGACCGAACATCATATCCTCAATGGTGCCGTCATGTCGCTCTTGTGATGTATTCAACCATACAAACCAAGCTTCGAACTCGGCGATAGCCGAAGCTGCTTTGCCCAAGGAATCACGTGGACCCCGAGAAAAGTAATTCAACAGAGCAGCGTAGCCATTCTTCATCAATGTGGGGGATTGCAGCCGTTTCAGCTGCTCGATCGTCTTGAAATAGATGTGCGCGTTCACATAGTCTGACCTGGCCTGACATTGTGTCATAGCAGCCTCAAGCATTGTAAGCAGAACAGGCTGTCGCTCCTGGGATTGATCACCGGAATCTGGATTACTGCCACTTCGTTGATGTTGTGGAGATCTTTGTCGTCCTGGTGTCATATTCCTTGATTCCGCTATGAGGCTGGTTAAATTGCTTTGACTAAGGTAAGGATTTTTCGATTGCAGATGCTCGCTTTGTGCTCGAGCAAAAGTGCGAGCGTGTCTTCGATGAGTGGATGTCCGGTTACTGAACTCCTTAGACTCACTCTCTGGTGCTAGCTCCTTAGGTATCTCATATTCCTCAACTAATTTAGCAATGTTCTGCTTCAATTGATGGTAGTCAGCCTCCAAATCGATGCTTGACTGACCCTCATCTTCGCTGTCGCTGTCAGGAGAATCATCGTCATGTTCGTCCTCGTCATCACTGTCCTTGTGCATCCTCGTTCGCAGTCCCTTGCCATCTGGTGAAACATAAAGTACAGCCCACCGTTCGGCACAAGGATGACAAGAACCAGAGATTGCATCCACGCCGCCAAGGATACGAGACATCTCAGAACAAGCTAGTCGTAGCCGGCGGCCGTAGTCTTCTGTGGGCTCTATCTTGGCTGGCCCTGGGTAACGGTGGGCAAGTGATATCCTTTCCGGGTCATCTAGTAAAGGCTCTCGGGACGTATTCTCACTTGTCATGGAAGAGGCAGACATACTCAGGACGGAGCTAGCGTCACCAGAAGAAGACCGTGGTCCAGTCCGCATCGGCATTGATACCCCAGATAGTGACGATGCTCCCGACGCCAGTCCACCTCGCCGTATAGAGTCTTTATCAGTGCCACTTGACTGGGGACGACGCTCAGGAAACAGTGTATGGACCATGGTAACGATGTCCGAAGGACAAACCACGATGAAGGGCTGTACTTCAACTGTCTCCCGCGGCGAGGTAATGGCCTTAGCAGGTAAGAGCACAGGTTTTGACCGGCTCCGGTTATACTTCAGACGTCCAGTGATGCTCTCCACACGTGCCCTTATCTCTGGCAGAACTGTAGATGGTTTATTCCTGTGCAAAAGTTTAGAGTTTGACGCGACATCGTACACGTGACACCTACCAGTTCATCAAGACGTCGAGTGCGTACTTCGAGGCGCGAATACCAATCTCCTTGAGGATCTTCTGTCTGGCATGCTCGCTGATGTGATGACCGGTCATAATTCCTTGCGTCTATTGAGGGGTAAGCTTGATTATCTTGGATGGGCGAAGCGGCTAGACTGACCTCCGGATGCACTATGCTGCTGAGCAGATGCGAAGCGAAGAACCATCTGCCTACTACAAGGAATTGACCCTTCGAACGGTGCTTAGTGCCTTCCAACTTTCGCAGGAATATGGTACCTAGTTCGAGAAAACCCTCTGGTAGACCTCCGGCTGCTGGTTCATCATCGATAACTTCGAATAGCTGCTTGACTGCGGAATCATAAAACTCATCGGCCGCGATGGTATCTTTGGTGCTCCGAGCTTCTTGTTGCCCTGTCCTAGGTCTCTGTGCTTGCTCTTCTGCCTTGTCCAACAGAAATTGGCCATCCTGGAGGACTTTCATCAAGTAGAGTTCGAGATTAACTTTTCCAGGCCATTCGCGCATTCCGGTCCAAACGTCAAAGACAGCCTTGATGAACTTTTCAAATCCAGGGACACCTTCTGAGAGTAATCTAGCGCATGTGGTAGCCCAGACGTCTGTACGCCGAGAGTCCTCCACGGAATCTGGCCCAGACGAATTCGCGAAGACAGTGTAAATGAGAGCGGCAAGAGGATCATGTCGTTGAAATGACAGTAGTCGCTCTACTGAGTTTGGCCCGGGGGGTTGAGATGATCTAGGGGTTGTGTTGATCGGTTGACCACGTATTTGGCGTGCCATAACGGTATCAATTGGGTCCATGACTTGACGGAAAGATGTCATGGACGCAAGCTCTGTCTGGTTCAGGCCGGTGACTCGCGTCGCGAGAAAGTCGGGATTGGTTCTTATTTCAGAAAGGAAATCCAGCAGGTCATCCCGAATTTTGACAGGTATCTCGTGCATAAAAGTGGAAAAGGACTGCTCACTCTTTCCATGCTTTTGTTTCATAATCTCTAGGTCGGGTTCCAACAGAGCATAACGCCGTGTTGCATCACAAGAGTTCCGAACGTCATGAAGGGCATTATAAAGCGTAGCAAAACCTTTCTTGTCATCTGCCCTGAAATGATCAACTAGTGTACGATGAGCCAGCTCACCACAGTGCACTAAGCGTGCAGACAGAGCGCTCGACACTAGCCATCTATGCAACCTAATTCGCGAGTGTGACCTCCTCTGCTCCTGAAAACCGCTAAGACGGATGAGGTGGGCAAGTTCTGCTAGAGAGGTCGAGGAGGGAGTCACAGCTGCAGTTGGCAGATACGCTTCGGAGTAATGAGAATGATCTTGTGGGAGTAGCGGGCGCGGTATGCGGCCTGCTGGAGCAGAGGTTGAGGATATTATGGACGGTCGCTGGAGAATGTTCGAAGGTCGCTCCTTGTCGACGGGTCCGCCAGGGCGGCTCCCCATTGTCGAAGTAGGGTTGAGCGGAGACGACGACCTTGACGGACTCTGAGACCGAGGCGGGAGGCCTGAAGTAATGTCATGAGAATCAGCCAGGGGGATAGAAGGCGTGTGGCTTCGAGAAGAGAGGCGAGAGATGGTTGGTGACACGGCTGTTCGTCAAGAAAGGTATGTTAGCCCTGCCAACACATCATACAGAGCGCATAAGCTGAACAGACACGATTGGGCCGCGGAAGGACCAAGGCTCGAGGGAGGAAAGAATAGAATTCACATACGCGGAGGAGAGTCACGGCGGGCTGGAGGAGTGGAGGAGCGCGCGGATGTTTTATTCATCCCGCCATGAGAAATGAGGCCCGACATAGATCTCGAGGCGATGCTCGAGCTTGTCAGGCAAAGACTGTGTATTTTCGCATATCGCTAATGAATGGTAGGTACGTAGAGGTCCGAGAAAAGATCCCTATGCAGCGCTGGAGCGGTGGATTGGGTGTAGGACCGATGTGTTGGCAGTTCGAGGGTCCTGCCTTCGTTCGTTCGTTCGTTCGAGGTTGATGGGGTCTATTATCGATAAGCTGGGGAAGTGGGAGACCGGAGTGTTTGCGGGAGTGTTGGCGCCAGTAACTACGAACAAATCCAGTTGGTGTGTGTATGTATGTCTGTATGTATTGTATGTATATAAGTGGCAGAGACGGGCGTGGATGCGGGCGGGCTTAGGCAGACGGGCGATTGGCTGGCAATAGCTGCGAACGGTGGCTAGAGAGCCTATTACCCTAATTACCTACACAGCTCGAGCCTCGAGTCACGGTGTTTCCGCTTGGTGCTGTCCAAAGCTGGGCGGGGCGGGGCTGGGCTGGGCTGGGCTGGTGCAGTTGGCCATAGCCAAAGCGGTCAACAAAACTGGATGGTCAAAGACTGAGAATGCACAATGAACGTGTTGCGATCAGTTAGTGTTGCGGCTGCTACGACGATTTGCAGTCAATTTCTGGAACACGACGATGTACACTCAGCACTCAGCACTCAGCACGCACTCGCCAAGCAGTGGCGATGGCGACGGCGACTGCAACAACGCATGCTGGCCAGAGGAATTACTACGGTAGACAGACAGCAAGCCGGAGTAGCAGCGTGTGCCCGTTGATCCAGAAGCTGATGACTTGCAGGCCAGCACATTCAAACCTTGAAACCTCGCGTGTCCAATGAGCAATGAGGATGCATCTCCAGTCAACAAACACTGTCACGACAATGACTGACTGCCAAATGAGCCTGCATATTGCCTCGTGCGCTACAGCCTCCACCTAATCACTCGTTCGTGGACGTTTTTCCCCTAGCCCACGACGCCAACGGCAGACGAAGCCATAATATTGCTTGCACTTCTCGCGTCCCATCATTTGGAACAGTATGCCAGTGGGTCTTCTTATGGCAGCATTCCTATTCTAGTATTAATTATTATTAGTCTGTGTCGATTTCTCTTTCATCGACGTGGCTTAGGATCGCTAATTTCGTGCCGGGTGGCTTGTAGCGAATGCAGGCTTCATCACACGGCGGCCCATTCTGCGGCCGCTCCTATGTTTGATTCATAACAGAAGAATCCTGTACGCCCAAGAACACCATCAGCGCGCTCGCTTGAATATCATCTTGCTTATCTATCCCCAGTCCATGCCCGAATCCGTTTGTTTCAGTACGGTTTAAATGCCCTCTGACTTCTTCCTCTTCCCGACTACGACCATGCTGTGGCAACCAGATGACTCGACTCGTTTCGTGTGCGTAGAGATGCCACCAGTTGAGCTTAATTCGCGTGATGATGCGCTGGCAGAAAGCTGCAATGCAAGGCCTCCCTAGGGGCTGCGCCCAATGAAGACAGGTTCTGAACCTGAAGCGAACGCTTTCCTCGTCCAGCACCTACAGTATCCATGCCAGGTCTGCTTGCCACGCGGCCATCTAGGTGAGAACTTAATTCTGAGCTCTTATCCGCCCGTTCGCTGAAGCCCATTTTCTCTCTTCATCTCAGCCAATTCCAAACCTCCAACGTTACTCTACGACCAGTTTTGGGACGTTTTGGGTTGCGCTTGCATATCTTTTCAATCATGAACTTCATGGCTAACATTCCGTTGACCCTTGGCTTGCTGCAATGCCAGACGGGACGCTTGCCAACGCCATCAAGCGACCCCACAGCCTGATCAATGTGATGCATCGTATCAATATGATTACATGCATCGAGCCAGCTGACTGAGGGGTTGTAATGTCAACTATCCAGAGCACCAGCCCTCAATATCCTGGTATGTAATTAGTATGCAGCTTGCAACTGTCATGCTGCCACAACTTAGCTGTGAACGCCTCGACATAATGCGGTTGCTGCTGTGCTTGTGTTGTCATCTTCAGTATTACTAGTAGTACATTTGAGTCGTTGATGTATCGATCCATTAATTCACCGCACCAAGGTCGATCAGGCTGTAGTTTGGGACGAATGGCAAGACCTAGTTTGTCCTCGGAGCTCTGTTACATATTCCTGATAGCTTCGCGAAGTAGAGGCGCCACTTGTTTACGACTATGTTCCACTCTGCGCTGCCACCATACCGTTCTCCAAACATTCACCTCTATCTTATCTATAGAGCCGTCTGGGCCTTGCCAGGTTTTGAGGCCAAGATTTCGGGTGTTGATCTCCATAAAATGTCTCGCAGCTTCAATCCCTTTCCTAGTGAACGCCCACAGTAACAGCTCCCTCTGGAGTTCCCCTGCCGACGTAGACGAAGCAGTCATCAGAGCAAATTGCCCGAGCTGTCTGTACCGTGCGAAGTCGCGTACGGACGCTAAGAAAGCTTCACTGCTACTCTCTGTACCAGAGGTCTCTCTCTTAGCCTTCTCCTGCATGAACTCGATCGGCTTGACAACTGAGCTGATACCTAAAAGAAGACCGTTTTCGTCCCATTGCTTGTAGTCCTTTTTCAAGATGTCATGCAAGGTGAGGCGCCCAATATCTTTCTTGGCGTTGTCGATCTGCTCGAAAAGTCGATTTCTGTTGAAAGATACTGTTTGATCAGCGTGACTCTTAATTTTGGCCTCAAGATAGTTCATCGCCTTCACGTCATACTCAGTAGTCTTCTGATTTGCTGTCGCGTTGGTAGTGTCGATAAGCACAGACGCAAGCGCGAGCTTGGCCAGCTGTGCGTCCCATAAGGACTTTTCGGACAAGTTATCTGCCTCTGAGGAGATAACATCCCAAGTTTCACGTAGATAGCCAGTCACAAGTGAGGTGCAGCTGCCTGATTTCTTGATGATGCGAGGCTCATCTCCCGTATCAAAAGGTACCCTGTTTTCCTCGTCATGGTGGTCGATGACACCACAGACTTGTCCAGTATATACAACACCTAGCTTGCCCTGTAATGCATTGTGGTCCACCAGTATCCACCTTGTGTTCTCGGGCACCAGGCCATATTCGACGGAGCTCAGTTCCGGCAGGTCGTCCAGGGTAATCAGATGGTCAGCCTCCAGATTGGCATGGGTTAAGAGGGCTGCGAATTCTGGGCGGAGGGCTATGTCTGCGGCAGGGATATTCGTAACTGGGATATACAGTGAAGTGAAGGCTTGCTTTGGGGGTGCAATCGAACGCAAGTACGAGAAAAGCAGCGAGCATGTTAAGGAGTCTAAGTCTGATACACAGTTTAGTGAACTATACACGACAGCAACCCTAATCTCCTATGCCGTACATACCTGCAGACTCGTTGCCAATCACAAGTGTAACACGCTCCTTTTTAACAATCGCGGATCTCAGAGACGATTTCGCATGAATGAGAAAGTCTCGAAGTGGACTGCGTGGAAAAGCCATTCAAGATTGGGACACAACAGGCTGATAAGTGATATTAGTACTAGAGCCTACCCGCCCGGTAAGAACCATATACGTAGACGTACCGTCGCAAATGATACATGGCTGATTCTATCGCAAACCCGAGCACTTTGTTAGGTGACACGGACGGTGACGACCGAGGGACAGGCAGGCTACTTGCCAGGTGGTCTTGGCAAATCGCAATTACTTTACAAAGGTACCATACCTACCTAAAATGCCGATATCTATCCTGCTATAACTCTATAGGTAGTTAGTTTCACCTTGGCCAAGAAGTCGAGTCGAGTTCAGTTGGAAAGAAGGACCAAGATTAATCTTTAGGACGTTACGCTACCAGACTTTCTACTCGCTAAAGCAGGACACAGCATAGGCAAGTAAGCACACCATTTCTGAGAAGATATAGATATCCATAGGCAGTGCACAAGTCGAATAGTCATAAAAGCTCTATGGCTCCTTCAAGAACTCCCTTACGGCTTCTTAGCCTTCGAGCAAGGAATTGCATGATCGGTAGCATTTCTTCTCGATTACGCGGCATTCCATCCGCATTTCTCTTCCATTCCTTGACTTCGGAATACTGATATGTGTCCTTCAAACGGGCTAGAGCACTAGCAGGAACCTCTGACGAAATGGCAGCCTTGCATAAGAGAACCGGGGTCCTACTCTTCTTATCGATGGGCAGCATCGGTGCTGAGTCTGGTAACCAGCCTGCTATGCACACTATCCCTCCAAGCTCTTCATCTTGTAGCTCTGCGCCTACTTGCAGAGCTGCCATACCACCCTGCGAATAGCCAAAGAACAAGATGTCTCGATATTCGTAGCCACATCCTTCTATCAGTGCCCTTTGCACTACCTCTTCGATGATAAGTTTTGCAGACGCCCTAAAGCCTGTGTCCTTGTTCATTGCATCAGAGGAGGGTTCAAAGTAAAGATCATCGCCCCAGTGGAAGCCTCCAAGGTCGAACGGTAATGGTTTCGGTGCACGAATGGAGATACAAACTGTTTCAGGTAGGTTCATCTGCCGACCAAGGTTCGTAAATGGTACATGGGTGTCACCGAGGCCATGGAGGAGGATGAGGACATTAATGGGCTGCTGAGATGAAGATGCTGGCTCAAGGTCTGTCAGTCGACTGAACTGTGGCTCAAGTATACGATCGACTTACGAGGCGTGATGCTGAAGGCGATAGGCTTACTGAAGGCGAAATCGGCCTCGTTTGGCAACCTGCCAGGCATGGCGTCTCGACGTTGTGAAGAGCGAATTTATACGCGCAATCGAAACGCCAACGGGTCCCGGCAGGTTGATAGGGCCTACCTATCTATTAGCGCACCTGCTCACCTGTTTATCTATATAGCTAAGACTTGTTATAACGATAACCAATATAGCGATAAACTTTGGATGATAACTAAACGAAAGTTACTTTCAGAGTAAAGCTATCATTAATACTCTTAATAGCTATTATAGAAGATATACATATATATATATTAGTTTAGAAATACTTTCTATTATTAGATATGTATAATAATAATAATAATATTAGTAAACTAGGTAGAGTACTACTCTATAGGCGCATGCCTCCTCTAGTCTAAGCTACTATATAAGAAGAAACCTACGAATAGGAAAAACTCCCTTATATCTATAACTACGCTCTATCTATCCTCTCGTTCTTTATATATATATAGCCCTAGGGGCTACCTATAGGCCTATAGCCTATATTATAATAGTTTACCCTTAGGTAGCACGTATAGATACGGAGATTATTAGTTAAGGGCTACCCTTAACTAATAATCGCGGTTCTCCCGGGGTTCTTCCGACGTATACCGGGGTTCTTCTAGTATATATTAGGCTTCTTCCGGTATATATACGCGGGTCTACTAGAACTAGGGGAGAGGAAGATATATAAGCATCCATTAGGCGACGTTCTTAGGGTATTTATTAAGCTATCGCGTGATATCGGAGGTCCTCGTTATATAGACGAGGGCTTATCTTAGGGTATATAGGCTAGAGCACGTCGCGAGGTAGTGGCGTATTATACCTCTCTAGCCGTAGTCCTCGTACTAGAGAGATATATCTAGGACGCCTCTCTAGTAGAGATAATATAGGAGGCCTATAGCGCCTATTCGGGCTTAGAGGAGTATAGATGCTTAGGCCTTCGTTAGCCCTTTATATATCTATTTACTTAGTTCCTTCTAAGGCCCTTAGATCTATTCTAGATACCTATCCTATTAGGAGGCCCACTAGGCTTTAAGTATCTCCCTCTATTTATCCTAGATCTATAACCGTATAACGCGGCTAAGCTTCTTAGGGTTCTATTAGCTTAGAACGGTATCTAGGTTATTTTAAACCTCCTATACGGTCTAGCTCGAGTCCGCCTCTATATAGTATTTATATTATACTCGAGTTTATCCTATAGTAGGGAGGGCCTAGTAATACGCGTAGATACGTGTACGTAGTACGGCAAAGGTATATACCCTATCTCCTCTACGTTCTTATACTTATTATTTAGTAAAATATATAAGTCTCTATATCTAGTAGAAGTCCTATATACTCGTTACGTTTATCTCGCGTTAGAGAAGCGTTATATTAGTAGCTTTATATACGCTAGAGATAAGGCGGAGTATACGGTTTTATATAGACTTAAGCTTTACCCGCCGAGCTTATATAAGGGCCGTATACTAGTACTCGTGTCCGTATATAAAGGCTAGGCGTGCTAGGGAGATATATAGCTGTCTCGCCTTATCCTAGGCTATTCCCTATATAGATACCGTAATCCGGTGTATAGCGGTTTCTATCTAGAGGGCTCTAGAGACGGCGTGTGCCACCTATGGTCTCTATTTTAGCTTATTATCGATTATAACGCTAAGTACACGTATACTCTATACTAGTAGTTCTATAAAGGCGTCGATTTAGGGGCGACGTACCCCCTCCCTAGTAGCCTATCCTCTATAGCGGTTAATAAAGTATATAAGCTAGTATTTTTTAGGTGTGAATTTTACTCCGTGGCGCTTTACCTACTAGACGTATTTCTCGTGGTCTCGTTCGAGTCGTGTATATATTCTACTAGTACTACTATCGACCGCGAGGAGGTATATATCGTCCGCGTATCCGACTATCTCTATATATTCTATTCTCTAAAGGAGGTCTACTATAAAGAAGAGGAAGAGGATCGGGGAGATAGTGCTCCCTTACGGGATGCCGTATACTATCTCCTTATATTCGCCTCGGTATCCGGGGATATATATTTAAGTAGTCCTTTATACGAGGAAGCACTATATAAATTATATAATCTACTTAGGTATTCGCCTTATCCGGAGGTTATAGATAAGTCTTATATAGTTTACCTTATTAAACGCCTCTACTATGTCTAGGGAGAGTAGCGTGACGACTCGTCCTTATTTCTATATAGTCTAGATAACCTCGAGGATATATTAAATAGCTATAATTAGGGAGCTTTCTATCTTCGCCTTCTGGTTTACTAGGAGAAGGCCGTGTACCTATACTACTATACTTATCTTCTTAGTAATCGTAGCTTCTAGTACCTTGCCTAGGTAGGAGAGGAGGGCGATCGGCCTCCATCCCTTCAGCGTATTTAGGCTCTTCCCTAGTTTTAGGAGTATAACCGTGTATACGGTTTAGAAGCTCTATAGGTAGTATCCTATACGGGCGCACGCTTAGAATATATAGCCTATAATTAGTAAGGTCGCCTATATAGTCCTCTTAAGGCATCGATTCGGAATTCTATCTAGCCCGGGCGCTTTATCGTTCGGGAGTGTCTTAATAGTACCGAGTATATTATCGTCCGTGATTTCCCTAGGGATACTTATAGCTTCCGGGTATTCCGTGCCGTCGATATCTAATAGGTCTACGGGTTCTAGGAGAGGGAATATAATCTCTTATAGGATCTCTATTTTCTCGAGGCTTATAGAGTACGTCTTTTCTTAATATATAAGGGGAGGTATAAGTAGTATAGGTGTCGGGGAGGCGGTGCTTTTAGCCTATTTTACTATATACCATAGTCTAGTAGTATTACGTGTGTATCTATCTATAACTATATACTACTATTTACGTCGCTCGTTACGGAGGACTTTATCTTATTATCTTCTTATCTCTCTCTATTTATCCTACGCTTTAGGTATATAGTTATAGTATACGCGTCTATATAATCTCCGGACTTCTCGCCTATACTCTTATACTTAAGATATGCTTTTCGGGTCTAGGGGTCTATATATTCGGTACGGCACGTGTTTATCTCTTACTCCCTAGTACGCCTATAGAAGTGTATTTACGGCCTGGTTAATGGCCGGGCCATTAGATACGTCGACTATAGACAGGTCTAGGATCGTCAATTCCAGGTCCTTTAGATACTTTTCCTAGTTAGTATCCTTCTATAGCTATCGCCCTCGTTAGTCTTAAGGGGTAGATACGTCTATTAAGGTCTCTATATATTCGTGGTCGGAGTCTATCTATATAAGGCTTAGGCGGTAGTATTAAGTCCTATTATAAAGGTGTCTAGTAGCTAGGGTAAGGTCGAGTATAGATCCGCCCTTATCTTATTTATGTTTTCGCTAGGTAATCTATCCTATTAGTATAAGAAGGTATAGAAAGCCATAGTATTAGGTACGTAGTTCTCTAGCTTAAAGCTCTTCGCGGGTGACGGTTAGTCTACCCTACTAGCTATAATAGAGGTTAAAATCTCCTAGGAGGATGTGTTATCCTAGCTCGGTAGTACCCTTAAGCATGTTATCCGCCTAAAGCGATTAGTTCTAATTATATATATTATATATATAGAGGGGTCTAATATTTATCTAGAGGTGTAGTATTATCCGGAGGTTATCCCGTTTAGTATACGACCATAATAAGAGTAGAATAGACTTATAGATATGGAAGAGGACTCTCCTCTCCGGTCCTAGGGGGTGTATTATATAATATCCTAGGTGTGTTATTGGTTTATTCGTCTAGTAGTATTTATATAGCTCCTATATAGCGAGTATTATAGCTCTAGTCTCCTCGAGGAGTATCGCCTAGTTCTTACGTTTATACTATACGTTTGCCTATATAATTAGGAGTATATCTTAGTCTCTTATTAGATGCTAGGGAATATATAGGCCTGTATATTCGTTCCTCTAAGTCGTGACTATCCTTATACGGTAGCGGCCTTAGTGATTCCTTAGGGCCGTCCTATTATTAGCTTTCTTGGGACGGTTTACTATTCCTAACCGCTTCCTCGTGAGGAGGTAGTCTATAGTAGTAGTATTATAGTAAAGAGAGGAACGGTAGTAGGTCGCATCATTTATAGCTACCTTACTCCCTTTATCCGGATTAAGTAGATGTATTTAGTGACCTATTTACGTTTCGCGCACGTAGCCGACTACGATAGATGCTTACCGTCGTAGTTAGAGTACTTCGCCGTGTCCCTATCCCTCTAGCCCTCTCCTTATGTCCCGTAGGGGTACTCCTAGGTACTATATTCTTATTAATACTATCTATACCTAGTCTTTTAGGAGTACCGCTATGCCGTGTACCCGTATCCCTAATAGTTAAAGTACTATATCATCGCCTATACTCTATCCTATGGTTCCGCTATAAGAAGTTCCCCTTCTACTAGGAATCCCTCTTACGTAATTTAATGCGCGAGAGCGGGGTCCTTAAGCTCTACTATTATAGTAGAGTATACCTTCGATCTGGTTTTAATCCCTTATATATTCTTCTACCATGCTCTTACGATCTTAATCCCTGGGTATTTTTACTCATTTAACTATTCTATCCGCATAATATTCTTTTCTCCGATAACCTATCCGCTTACAGGCATAGAGTATACCTATATCGGGTATATGGCCGCCCTAATAGAGGCGCCTAGAAAGATACTACTAATCGCGTTCGGATTACGTAAGATAGTCTACTACGTAATATTCGTTATCGTGGTAAGTACTACTCCTTCTAGCGTGAGTTTAGGGACGACGACGTTTAACTATATTCCCTTTTATTTATTAATCTTACTTACTATATCCTTTAGGGATACTCGCTAGACCTATGCTAGGGTATCCTTATCCTAGATTACGACGCGTATACTATACGCTACGTCGCCGGTCCGGGGGGCCCATGGTATAGCCTCCGGTATTACTACTATTTATATCTATATACTAGGGCGCTTACCTTAAGTGAGTTCCTCCTAGATTCTATATAGGCTGGCCTCTATTCGGTCGAGCCTACCCTCCGGTCCTCCTAGTTATATCTT